CCATCCCGCACCCCCCCACCCACCCCAGGTTCTTGGGGGTCCCCCATCCCACGCAGCCCCCGCACCCCACGTCACCGGAGCAGGCCCTGACTCTGCACACGTGTTTATTGTCCTGCAGGGAGTCCCCGCTCCACCCTGTACCCCAAATTTTCCCTGGAGATCCATCGGCGGACCCCAAACGAATGTGCCGAAGGTCGGGGCTGCATCCCAGAGCGCTGCAGGTTGGATGTGGCAAGCGGAGAGGGGTTGGGGGGAGCCCCCCAAGGGGGGGGCCGGTGCTGGGGTGGGGGGGGCTGGCTCTTGGGGTGTCCCTTGCACGCTCAGGGGTGTCGCTCGCACACCCAGGGGAGCTGACTCTTGCAGGGGTAGTCGTACCACTCGCCGTCCTCCCTCACCACCGCGCAGTTCTCCTGGTCCCCACCGTTGGGCTCGTTCCTGTGCCACGAGCTGCGACGAGGAGGGGGAGTGGGACAGCTTAGGGGTGTCCCCCTGTGTCCCCAAGCCCCCGTCCCCTTGTCCCCAGCACCCGCTGGGCCGTACCTGCTTTCCCGGGTCACGATAGTCCCGTTCGCCCGCTTCCAGGTGCCCTCGACTTCCACATCCCTGATGCCGAGCCAGGAGGAGCTTTGGAGCATGGTCTGGATGTGATTCTGGGGGAAAAGGCAGCGTCACCCCATGGCAGAGCCCCCCACGACCCTTTGCCCACCCTTGGGGACAGCGGGGGACAGCAGATCCCAGTGGCAGGTAGGACCTGATGCTATATTCCCCCTCAATTCCCCTCTTTCCGGATGCTTGGATCCATCTCCCCTCACCTTCTCCTCGGGGCCGTCCACCTCCAGGAGCTGCGAGCCCAGGATGGAGCAGAAACGCTGGGCGTTCTCCCAGGAACTCGCTGTCTTGGAGTAGAAATAGCAGGAGTTCCTAAAATAGGTCCAGCCTTTGGAGCAAACGGGACAGCCTGGGGCGGGGGGGACACACACAGAAAAAGGGGGTCACCCCCCAGCTGGGGCTATGAGACCCCATAAATTGGGGATAACCCTGGCCGGAGATGCGACCCCGGCTGTGGGAGCTGCCGAGCATCCCCTCTGGGTTAGCGTTACGGCTGGGCTAGGGTTAGAGCCCTACTGGGGTCTGGGTTAAATCCTCTATATTTAGGGTTAGGACTGGTTTGGGGTCCCATTGGGGTTTAGACTGGGTCAGGATTAGGTTAAATCCTCTATATTTGGGGTTAGGACTGGTTTGGGGTCCCATTGGGGTTTAGACTGGGTCAGGATTAGGTTAAATCCTCTATATTTGGGGTTAGGACTGGTTTGGGGTCCCATTGGGGTTTAGACTGGGTCAGGATTAGGTTAAATCTTATATATTTTGGGTTATAACTGGGTTGGGGTCCCACTGGGGTTTGGGTTTAGCTTGAGTCCTCTACGTTTAGGGTTTCAACTGGGTTGGGGTTAGGACCATGCTGAAGTTTGGGCTAAATTAGGCTTAGCTTACGTCCTAGATATTTAGGGCTATGGCTGCGTTAGGGTTAGGGCCCTGCTGGGATTAGGGCTACTTTAGGATTAATTTAGATCCTTTATATTTAGGGTTAGGGCTAGGTTAGGATTATTGGGGTTTGGGCTAGTTTAGGGTTAGGCAAAGTTACGTATATTTAGGGTTTGAGCTGGGTTAAGACCCCACTGAGGTTTGACCTCACTTAGGGTTAGGTTAAGTTGCATTTATTTAGGGTTAAGTCTGCATCAGGGTTAAGGTTTGGGCTCGGTTAGGGTTAGGTTAAGTCACCTAAGTCACCCAAGTCACCCTAAATGTAGGGTTAGATCAGGTTTAGAGCCCTGTTGCAGTTTGAGCTTAGCTTAAGCTGTATCTGTGCCAGGTTAGGGCTGAACTTCAGCCAGCGTAGGGTTAGGCAAAGCCCTAAATATTTAGGATAAAGGTGCCGGGACTGACAGGAGCGGGAACAGACGTCATCCTTGCTCCCGTGGATGACCCAGCGGCTCCACTGGCGGTCTCCGGTGTAGAGCATCACCGTCTGCTGATAGTTGTTGCCGTAATTAAAGTAGAGATCGTAGCCGGCGAGCGCCAACAGCCCACCGTCGCGGCACTCCCAGCGCTGCAGCGTGCCGTTGTCCCGGCACGGCTCCAGCCTGACGAGGGCCAGGTTTTGCCCGCGGGTTGCCGTAACGCAGTGCTGGCTCTCCCAGCCCCGTAGCCGACTCCCGGGTAACCACTGGAACCGTTGTGCCGCGGCTTCGGGCCGGCACGCCGTCGCCGTCAGCTGTTTCCCGCTGACCTCCACGCATTTGCCGTGGTGTTCGTTGTACAGCAGGAAGGACCGGGAGGCTGCGGAGAGGTTCCCGGTGAACCGGGGCGGGGGGGGACACGCGGAGATTGGGGACACGTCTGTGGGTGTCACCGTGGAGAGGGAGGGGAGGGACACGCGGCGTGGACACGCACCCACGTCCGGCAGCTCCTTCACCTTCTCCGCCTCCAGCGCCGCCGTCAGGGCTGCAACTGGGGGGGGGATGGATATGGGGACACACACACGTCACCCCGTCACCGCAGGGTACAGGGTGTCCCGGAGCTGTTGCCGCCGCAGGGGTGGGAGAGGGGTTGGTGTTGAGGGGTGCTGAGCACTCGGATCCCCCGTGGAGACCCCCAACACCCCGATAACCTTAACTCTGCCCCCCCAGCAGCCCCGGCATCGGCTCTCTGGGTGGAAGGGGGCTCCCCCGAGCCCCGCGGAGCCCCGCTACTCACTGTGCCGCGAGCCGACGGCGAGGAAGAGCACGTTCATCAGCACCGAGACCCCCAGGGCCGCGGCACCCACCAGCACCAGCTTCTCCTTGGAGCAGCACCCTGATGCTGAGGAGGGTGGGTGAGTGACAACCGGCCCCTGGTTCCGGTAGAGCCGGGTGGCACCGGCTTTAACCACAGCGTGGTTTTTCTCCTGCCGGCGATGCTTTTGCCCTCGCCCGTGCCGTACCTGGGGGGTCGGGCGCGTGGTTCTGGCTTGGTGCGGCAATGGGGGGGTCCAGGGGCTCGTACGGGTTCTCCTCTGTGGGGCACAGGTCGCTGCAGGCTGGGGAGGGGACAGCGGTGACGGCACTTGTGGGGGGGATGTCCCCTTCCCAGTGCCACCGGGATCCCTGGGGACTCCCCTCCAGCACGAGGGTGGGGGATTCCCCCCAGTGCCACTTCCCTGGGGATCCCCCGTTGGGAACCAGGGGTGGGGGATCCCCCCCCCTCCCCCAGGTGTCTCCCACCTCCCCTTGGGCACCGAGGATGGAAATGGGGGGCCCCTTCGGTGTCACCGTCTGCCCTGGGGACCCCCTCTTTGGACACCGGGGGTGGGGAGTCTCCCACCAACTGCCCCGAGGACCCTCTTGGACACCAGGCACAGAGACGGGGATCCCTCTGGGTGCCACTGCCCACCCTGGGGACACCCCTCAGGGACCAGGGATGGAGATGGGGGTCCCCTTCGGTGCCACCACCCACCCTGGGGACCCCACTCGGGCACCGGGGACTGGGGATCCCCTTCTAGGTGCCATCGCTTGCCCCAGGGACCCCCTTGGGCACCAGGGGTGGAGATGGGGATCCCTCCCTGGTACCACCACCCACCCTGGGGACCCCCCCTCAGACACCAGGGATGGGGGAACCCCCCCTTGGGTGCCACCACCCACCCTGGGGACCCCTCTTGGGCACCGGTGACAGAGACAGGGGATTCCCCCAGCACCGTGAGACCCCAAAAGTGACATGGGGTGTGTATTAAAGGGGCAGTGGGACTCCTGGGCTAGCCCCCACCCCAAGCAGCACCCAGGGGTGCTCCCTACCTTTCCCATCGCTGGGTCCCAGCACCCACGTTTGCTCCTTCCCGGCTTGGCTGGAGTCGATGTTGCCGTACATGGTCCCTGCGTCGCCGAAGCGCTGTCCCCAGCGGGTGTCCCCGCTGATAAAGCCTGCGGGAAGCGGGTGAAGGGGGGGGTGCCGGATGCACCCTCACCCCGGGGATGGGCCTTGAAGGGGCCCCCGAGCACCCAGCGGCTCCCTCCCTGCACCCCAAAGCTTGGCTGGAGGTGGCACCACCAGGGACAGTCCCCGACGGGTGCTGGCAGAGACCCCAGCGTCCCTGGGGGGGGGTCTCGGTGCAGAATGGCCCCGTGGAGGGGGGCCCAAGGGTGCTGCTGGGTTGGCGGGGTGGTGGGTGCTGGGTGGCATGTGGGGGACTTGGGGAGAGCAAGGGCTGGGTGTCCCCATGCCCGGGGTGTCCCCACGGCAGCGTCTGGGGTGTCTCCACGGCAGTGTCCAGGGTGTCCCCACAGCAGTGTCCAGGGTGTCCCCATGGCAGTGTCCAGGGTGTCCCCATGCCCGGGGTGCACCCGTGGCGGTGTATGGAGTGTCCCCACAGCAGTGTCCAGGGTGTCCCCGTGTCCCCGGTGTCCCCACAGCCGTGCCCAGGGGGTCCCCACACCTCCCCGTGTCCCCGGTGTCCCCACAGCAGTGCCCAGGGTGTCCCCACACCCAGGGTGCACCCATGGCGGTGTCCAGGGTGTCTCCATGCCAGGGGTGTCCCCACGGCAGTGTCAAGGGTGTCCCCCCACGCCTGGGGTGTCCCCATGGCAGTGTCCAGGGTGTCTCCACGCCCAGGGTGCACCCATGGCAGTGTCCAGGGTGTCCCCACGCCTGGGGTGTCCCCACGGCAGTGTCCAGGGTGTCCCCATGCCCGGGGTGCACCCGTGGCAGTGCCCGGGGTGTCCCCATGCCTGGGGTGTCCCCATGCCCAGGGCACACCCATGGCAATGTCTGGGGTGTCCCTGTACCCGGGGTGTCCCCACGGCAGTGTCCAGGGTGTCCCCGTGTCCCCGGTGTCCCCATGCCCACGGTGTCCCCCAGCAGATGCCAGTGTCCAGGCTACACCCATGGCAGTGCCCGTGGTGTCCCCATCACCCGTGTGTCCCCATGCCCGCCACATCCCTGGCGTCAGCCCCCACCGGGGTGCACCTATGCCCATCCCAGCACCCACGGGAGAACCGGCTGGCCCCGCGGGTGCCGGGCCCCGCGCCGGCTCTGGCCGCGCAGAAATAGCCGGGTGCTATCAGCACCCGCCAGCCCCGGCCACAGTTCCCCGGCCACCCACCGGCACCCGGCTTATCGCACCCGGTGGGAGCGGGCACCCCATGCCACGGGGGTTGCGGGAATGGCCGTGGGGCTGTGGCGGAGCCGGCTGTGCCGTGGTGGTGCTGGGTGTGCCGTGGTAGGGCCGGGTCCGTTGTGGTGGTACCAGGCGTGCCGTGGCTCTGCCCGGTGTCCCATGGTTGTGCTGGGTGTGCCATGGTGGTGCTGGGTGTGCCGTGGTTGTACTGCCTGTACCATGGCGTTGCCAGGTGTCCCGTGGTCATGCCGGGTGTCCCATGGCAGTGCCGGGTGTCCCGTGGCGTTGCCGGCTGTCCTGTCTCAGTGACAGTTGTGCTGTGGCAGTGCCGGCTGCCCTGTGGCGGTGCTGCCTGTCCTGTCATGGTGACAGTCGTGCCGTGGTGGTGCTGGCTGTCCCATCCTGGTGACGGTTGTGCCGTGGCAGTGCCGGCTGTCCTGTCACGGTGACAGCTGTGCCGTGGCGGTGCCGGCTGTCCTGTCACAGTGACGGTTGTTCTGTGGCAGTGCCGGCTGTCCCATCCTGGTGACAGTTGTGCCGTGGTGGTGCTGGCTGTCCCGTCCCGGTGACAGCTGTGCCGTGGCGGTGCCGGGTGTCCCATCCCGGTGTCGGTCGTGCCGTGGCGGTGCCGGGTGTCCCATCCCGGTGTCGTTCGTGCCGTGGCGGTGCCGGGTGTCCCATCCCGGTGTCGTTCGTGCCGTGGCGGTGCCGGGTGTCCCCACGTGTGTCCCCCCCCCTT